TAAAACAAATAAGAAAAGAAACTAATATATTGATATCAACCATAATTGCAAACTGCCCGTTCTTGATGAGCTTCAGATGAGAACATATAGAATTTTATGTGCAAAGAATGAGCTTTTTTTGTTAGTTTCTACTCGCTTCTGATCCCATAAAACTACCCTCTAAGCCTACAACATCTGGGGTTGGAAAATATTAACATTTCAGCGTGAACTGAAGGGTTTGGAAGTGGCCATAGGTCTCCTCCATTAGCTTTGCTGTTGTTATTAACAAGAGTTCATGAGTAGATTATGACTTCCAGAGGCATTCATCAAATGGTTCCCTTGTCTACCTTTCTTTATTCATTGCTAACTGATTTCTTTCAGTTGCTTTCTTATGCATACGCTCTATTTTTGCTGGTTATGAAGTCTGCAGAGATGGAATTCATATCTACCATCTACAATTTTCCCACGTGATACTCCTACGTAGGAGACCTATAATGTGAGATCCCACGTTGGTTGGAGAGCAAAACGAAGTATTATTTATAAGAGTGTGGAAACCTCTCCCTAATAGACGTGTTTTAAAACCTTGAGGGGAAGCCTAGAAGAGAAAGCCCAAAACGGACAATATATGCTAGTGGTGGGCTTGGGCTGTTACAAATGGTATCAGAGCTAGACATCAGGCAATGTGCTAGCGAAGACGTTGGGTCCCCAAGGGGGGTGGATTGTGAGATCCCACATCGGTTGGAGAGTGAAACGAAGCATTCCTTATAAAGGTGTGGAAACCTCTCCCTAACAGACGCGCTTTAAACCTTCAAGGGGAAGCTCATAAGAGAAAGTCCAAAGAGAACAATATCTGCTAGCAGTGGGCTTAGGCTGTCACAAATGGTATTAGAGTCAGACACTAAGCAATGTGCCAACGAGGAGACTAAGCCCTGAAGGGGGGTGGACACGAGGCAGTGTGCCAGCAAGAATGTTGGGCCCCAAAGGGGGTTGGATTGGGGAGTCCCACATCAATTGGAGAAGGGAACTAGTGTCAGTGAGGACATTGGGCCCTGAAGGGGGGTGGATTGTGAGATCCTACATCATTCTTTACAAGGGTGTGGAAACCTCTCCCTAGTAGACGCGTTTTAAAAACCTTAAAGGGAAGTCCGAAAGGAAAACCCAATATCTTTCTTCATTTTGTGAGATAGAAAACTCAAACATGACTTTCAAAGTTAAGCAACCACATGCCAATCTAAGAACAATAAAAGAGTAGTAGAATTGGCAACCTTGTTGAGATAATTCATTTGAATAATGACGCAAGTTACAACCACCAACATGAAAAACCACGTCTCAGGGTAGATTAATTGGTTCTTCCCCTCAAAGGTCAATTTCAATGATGTCCCAAGGGCTTTAACACTCATCACCTGCAAATATTCAGGATGGAAGTCAATCATACACAAAATCAATTAACAAATGAGAATGCAAACCTTTTATCCTTTCAACATAGTTTTGGAAAATCATGTGTAGCGAAGCTTCTAAAACAAATAGTAACTAGTTGTAATAAGACAATTTAAATTAGACCATTGATTTTCGACGCCAACGTAAGCGTAGCTCCGTGGTTAAGGCATCTACTCCTTCCTTAAAGTTAGAAGTTCAAAGTCTAACGAGCACTTGTACTAAAAAAACGACCATTGAGCTATGCGTTTTGCACATAAGATGCAATAAGTTGTTTGCAAGATCAGTTGCAATTCATGCCACGCTATCAAACGTTTAAACGCGGTAGTTTGGAACAATGAAATGCATCATAATTCAACTAAACTCGACGCTCTGGTGAGACGAGACGTACCGAGAGGGAACCCATGAGCGAACAAATTCCGGTAAACACCAACACGTTGGTATGGCCACATCGCGGGGAAAAATAGATGGCAAGAATAAAAACCAATACAATCACAGAGCCCATATATAGCAAGAAGGCTGAAAAACAAAATAGTATTAATCAGCAATGAAGCTCACGTACGACAAGGTAACGAACAAAACGAAACGAGTCACGAGCTAGACGTTTAACCTGGCTGTGTTGCCATATTCCATATTTCCTGTACAGAAGTAATAGGACGCTCACTTGGAGCATGAACAACTATAATGACTGAGCCTGCTATACACATCACACACCCCAAAATTCCAAGCTTGTGCAACCTCTCCTTCAAGATAAAATGGGCCAACACAGCACTAGAAAATCCCATTCAGAGGACATCAGAGAAAACTCTGATAGCTAACATGGAGATAACTTCTAAACATAATTGAGAAAGAGCAAGCATAGCAGACACGAAATACCTGACGATTATGCTTAACGCACCGAGCGGCGTCACGAGAACTGCAGGGGCAAATGCATAAGCAATGAAGTTGGCAGCCTCACCAACAATCACTGGATTACAAACAATATGAACATTGATCAAATATGGAATTCAAAAGGGGCAAATGAATCATGTCCAGCAGATTACTAGAACTTTGAAGCAAAAATCAGCCAAATTTAAGTTCATCCATGAACACGGAGCACAATTTCAACATAGTCAAGAATCAAGATAAGAAAACATGTAAGAATCCATGATTATATGAACAACTTAAATGCAAAACAATCGAAGCCCCTTGAGAGGAAGAAAGAATATCTTACTTATAATCATGCCTATCCACCATAGAGGCTCCAAGAGGTAAGTATAGCCACCAACACCTGCAAAACGAAGAACAAAAACAAGGCCATCTGAATCAAAACAAGCCCCAGAAGAATCAACAAAGATAAAGCCTAAATCAAGTGCATTCATAATGAAAATCTTCACCAGCTCTGACCCCAGATGCTGCTGCTGCTCTTCTAAGCCCCTTTTTCTTGATAATAAAGCTTGCCCCTATGAACCCACTCGAGAGCAAAGCCAAAATAACGCCATTCAGATTGTCTTCACCAAAACCCATCACGAGAATTCGATCCTTCTTGTTCTTGTTCTTCGTTTCACCATCCAATTAATCACCCATTAGAACCGTATCTACGACCCAGAATAATACCATCATCATCATCATCTTCTTCTTCTTCTTCTTCTTCCTCTTCTTCTTCTTCTTCTTCCTCTTCTTCTTCTTCTTTCTCCAATATAATCCGTTTTCCTTTTGGTTTTTGCTGCGAAATACAGTAGTCACATCGACGATGCTCATAATCAATCATCAGTACAGACAATTGCGTTTTGTCGCGTTGAGGATGGAAATTGCCCAATGGGATCCACGCCACGCCGCACGGGATTGACGGACAAGAAAAACTAGTGAATATTTTCTATTAAAATGTATTGGGTAAGTAAGTAAGGGAAGTCATAATATAATATAATACAATCAAAGCCATACGATTAATTACCGTAAGGATCTTGACCTTCATCTTGAATATGAACAACTTTTGGTGGGGTTCTGAAATGAGAAGAATTCTTGGCCGACATCATCATCTATCAATTTTTGTGTGACCTAAACAAGCAAACTTTTTGTGTGTATTCATCGTTTGTGAGCATTGAACTGTTGACAGCGACGAGCCGTATGGAAGATGGAACAACTATTAGTGGCTTCAAATTCTTGTTCATTTTCATGAATGGAAAGTATAAGAAGATTGATTAACAAATTATGGCAAGTGGAAGAAATTAAAAAAAAAACACACACACCTTTTTGTAGAATGAACAATCATAAGCAATTAAATAAACCCAACTTAAAATTTTCATAAAATTAAAAACTGGGTGAGAATTTGTCTTTTGATTAACATTCATGAAAATGATTTTCGTAGTTGTGTGTTTATAATTTTAGAGGCTGGACAAAATATGAAACTAAGAACATTATCTTACGAGATGGAATACATTTCTTCCCATATAAGGTAGGTAGATGCGTAGTTTGTTTAAATGTTGTTTCTGGGACTTGAATGATATGACATCACTCTCTCCCTAGCTCCGAAGGACTTAGTTTATGATCAGATCATAAACAAATTGTTTATTAACTTATTGTACGCGAAAAAGAGTACAACTTTAGGTTTAGAGTGAGGTAACATAAAGTTAATGGATAAAAATTGATTAATTAAAGAATCTAATTAATTAATTTTATATCACTTGAACTTCACGTGATATTAATACTAAAAGTTCATTTAGTTGATTTTCTTATAAAAAATATTCAAAATACTTAAATAAAGATTTGACTCGGTGGTTCATTATATAAAATAACGATGGGATAAATTGCAATCACATAATAACGGTCCTTATCTAAAAGCTATCATTTAATCTTCATTGTAATAAATTCGAAGCTTTTTCAAGTAAATGAGTATAAATGTTTTCAATAATTATTTGGGAGCTCGAGGTTGATTTTGGATAGTTTTTAAATCAGGCATATGTAGTCTCTGTTAATAGAACCTTTGAGTTAAAGCTCGATCATCTCACTCTCAATTAAAGTTTTTCTCTATTCTTCTTCTTCTTCTTATCTTTAACATCAAAGCGAAGAGGGGTGAAAGAAGTCCGGAGCGAGTTTTTTTTGGAAAGTTTGAGACGGTACGAAAAAGGGTTATAGTTACGTGTGTTGAATTTTTTATGTTTGTTTGGTCTAAATATTGCTACAATCTTCAAATGCTAATGAGCTCCAAGAATATGAGTTTTGTCTCGTGTACAAAATCATAAATATAGAGAAGTTTTAGACGATGGTAAATAACAAAATAACAATAGGAAGGCTATTTGTACGAGCCAATTGGTTAGAAGACTGCCACCAAACTTAAAAGTCAAAAAGACATAAATAACATTAAAAAGAACAAAATAAAAAATAAATTAAAATTCGAAAGAAAGAGTAATCATACTTTTTAACAATTTTTTTAAACCCAGGGTTATTGTTAAAACGTGACTTAATACTTTCTTTAATTTAGATGATCCTAAAACATCGTCCGAACAATACTCTTAACGAATGTGGGCTATATTCGATTTTTCAATAGGTCGACTAAATATATATATATATATATAGAATCATGATAGTAGGTAGTTATATTATATATAAAAATAAATTATGTATATAATAAGTAGGTTTATGATGAGAAAATATTTGGAGCTATATGTGAAAAAGGCAAAAACCCTCTCTATGTCCTAACACATCACCAAATGTCAGCGAACATTTACAACAAATCGAATCCCTAAATCTTTGAGCCAAACGAAAAAACAAAAGGTTAGATGCCCAAAACGAATCTAAACCACAAACCTAACAGATAAAATAAAAGGCTCACCAAAATTTACACCAATTCTCTACTCGACAGCCCTAAAAAGTGGGAACAAGAATTCGTGATCGATGAAGTTCTTGATTATCAGAAAGAATTTACCTCCAAGGTGTAGTTTCTTTTCAACTTCATCAATTTTCTCGCAGCTTCACCATATGCTCCATGTTTCTCTGTTTCTTCTGCGTCGAATTCATCTCCCATTTTATCTAATCCATCTAAAGCAATACCTGCAGAACTAGGTCTGATCACGACCAGAGTCGCCGCCGTCATCACCGAGCCGGACGCTGGTAGGTCCAGCACCGGCACATGCCACATCTTCATGTGCAGATCTGGTATTACAGTCCTTTCTACTGGAGATTGATTCGAAGTGGAGGATTTCATCGAGTCTCTCAGTTCTTTGAGTTGTTTCTCCTCCATACAGAGTCTTCCTTGTTTTGTTGAATCGGTTATCACCACGCTCTGTAGCATCGGGAAATCGGCTACCATCTGTTTGACCAAATAATGTCTCATGGAAGCAGCGATTAGGGATGAAATCGTCCATACAATTCTTAGTTTAAGTTCTTCGTCTCCCAATTCCGTTTCCGAATCTGCTTCTACTACGCGTTCTTCTTCTGTTTCTTTGGCCTCTGAATCAGAATGAACAATCGATTTCCGCCGCAAAGACGACGCTCCAAGAACGACGCAACTCTTCAATTCAGCACCGAACTCGGCCTTCCACTTAAGCAAGGGACCACCGCCATGAATAGAGCCGATTTCATCGCCACAGCAAGGAAGTTCCATATGAACGAACTTAATTCCTCTAAATTCCTTCAACGCAACACTCGGCCAGTAGTACCAATCGCCAAATCCAGAACTCGGCGTCGAAGTACGAGTAATCACACGCCGAATAAAACGAAAAGGCGTAAACACAAACTTACGAACAAAAAACCTAATCAAGGAATTCGGCGGCGATCGACGACCGACTCTCGATTTCCGCTTCGAATCAAGTACAGGACGAGGAATCGCAAGAAAAACAGTCTCGGATTGCAAAATGAGAGAAGCGAATCGCTTGGAGACGGCAAGGCATCGAATAAGAGAACGAGCATCGATCAATTTGTTGAAGATGAGATGAAGAATCGCATCAGGAAGAAGATCAAAATAGTCTAAATCATCATCATCATCTTCTTCTTCTTCTTCATCTACAACTAGTTGTTGCTGTTCTTGACCTCGATTTCGTATTTCAAATTGATCCTTGATCGGATCCATGGACACAATGATCTCGATTCCGGATCTTGATCGTGGCTGTTGTTGGTATGGATTTGAGGCAAAAACGAGTGAAGATTTAAGGCATTAATTCGACGGTTTGTAGAGAGAGAAAAAGAGACTCCGTGGTTTTTGAGTTGTTCGTTTGACCATAGATTTGTAAGAACAGAGAAAAGACGCATACACTTCATATTTTGCTGACTCTGCAAAAGGTGCGACCATATCCCTTCCCCTTTTTTCTTTTTTCTTTTTTTTTTTAAAATTAAAAAAAATTAAATAGATAAGACTTTGTATTTATTTTATATTTTAATTAAAGTGTCGGTTAGAATATAATTCAAGTGGTTGCTCCAAGCTCGAGTTCGTAACGATATATATTTTTCTAAAGGTTTTATTCTCTTTCGATAAAGTAAAGATGCATATTGCTTAATTTCTAAGGTCGACCGTTTTTTTATTATTTTATTTTATTTATTAATATAACATTCAAATTTAAATTTGATCTATTTTTTTTTATTAAAATTAAATTTTTGAAATAATATTTGAATTTCTCTTTATGAAACTTATTTATTAAATTATAAATCGAGTAATTATATTCCAATTTCATTTATTGGAAAAAAAAAAGGCAAAAAAAATAATGTAATTTATATTTAATTAATAAATATTAAGGAATTAAAAAAAAACACTAAAATTAAGAAATTAAGGAAGGGTTGACAAAGTCAAACGTAGGAAACTTCGAAGAAAAGGGCAAAGCGTGGCGTATGCGGATTGGACATTCATGCATGTGTCTTGTTCTTCCAAAGTTGACTTCTTTCTTTTTTTGACCTTTTTTTAATACCACGTGGATTGTCCCTCTTATGATTACCATCTTACACAAACTATATATTAATTTTAAATAGTTATCCTAAATCGAAATATCGCTTTAAGTGTACACGGGTTGAGTTGGGTTGGAAAAATCTCTTGGACTAATTCAAAATTTTGAATTCGCTAGATTGGTGACTCGAACAATTCGAATAGAGTTTACAACCCTTTGTTGAAAAACTTAGAATAAGGTTATGGGTCAATAGTATTAACATTTTGGATTGGTTGGATCGGTGACCCGAATGATTCGAATAGGGTCCATAGCTATTTGTTGCAAGACTTGAAATGAATTACAAGTCGTGGTGTAAATGGACAAAAGTTATTGACCGAACAATATTGGTATTTTGGGTTAGTTGGATTGAAGACCCGAGTAATTTAAATAGAGTTTATAGTTCTTTGTTGTAAGGCTTGAATTGAATCACGAGTCGCAGTTGCTATAGATGGATATTTTAGATAGTAAAGGTATGACCCAATGATATTAGTATTTTAGATTAGTTGGATGGATGACTCGAGCAATTTAAATAGGGTTTACAGCCCTTCGAGCTAGGTTATGGGCCTATCATTGGGCCTTCTCTAAGTTGCTTAGAATCCCTATTAATATTGATTTTGCATGGGTGGGGTTAAATTGTGACCAAATATCATACGCCTCAATTTGGAAGACATTATTGGATTGATTGTTTGTTGGAATTATCAAATAATACAATGAAGATGAGAAGTCACGTCATGGGTATTTTAATTATTTTTTGTAATGACCCATATATTGCATGTGCAATGTTGTATTGTATTCTATGACTGTTATGCATGATAAAACGCATTTAAAACTGTGTTGAGACCGATTTCATACATGACATGATTGTTTCAATGAAAATAATTCCTTTGTGGTAATTGCACGTTGTGTGATCAAGTAGTTAGCCATTAAAGTCACTGTTCAAATTACACTCAATTTTGTTGCTTAGCTTCGTAAAGCGAATTAGAATATTGTTTTGGACATCATGAACGATCCATAGTTTTTGGGAACTAGACATCGACATATGAGTTGGATGATTAATGTATGTACGTGGCAGTTAGGGTCGAGTTAGATAATTCTAATCTAAGATAGGTCCGGAGTGAATAACTCTCCTTAATCTTTGAATAGGAAAAAAAAAAAACTGATGTCCTAATTTTTTTTAAAAAAATTTAAAAATATCTTTACAAGTAGTATTATATCCCCTTTTACTTTGTAAAAATAATTTAAAAAAATTCATACCGTTAATATATAAACAAAAACTGTCTATTGATATTTCATAAATGATCTCAAAATGTTTTTAATGTATTTTTAAAAGAACTACGAAAATTTCAAAAATTTTAAAAGTTAATTCAACATTTAAATTTTACAAAATATATATATATTTAGAAATTAAATTTATAATTTAACCTAAGTTACTTCAAAATCAAGTGGAAAATAAAGTTGATAATAATAATAATTAAAAAATAATAATAATAATAATGTTATGTAATGTGTGGCTCAAAATTAAGAAAAAAAATGAGAGAATGGTTGACACTCAAACGGGAACATTATCACGTTATCTTTGTTATATCTGTCTCAGCCTCAAGTTTCTTTTTTTTTTTTTCTGTTTATAAAATAATAATAATAATAATAAATAAATAAATAAAAAAAAGCAATTATATAACAGCAAGCAAACCTACCTTTAGTAGATATTATCCACTTTGACCCGTTCCATATTTTCGTCAGTCTCACAATTTTAAAATGCGTCTGTTATGGAGAGGGTCTAGTGCTATTCCGATCCGTGCTTCACACCATCCAGTGACTGACTTTAATAGCATTTATAACTGTTCAAGTCTATCGCTAATAGATATTTTCCACTTTGACCCGTTACATATCGTCGTTCACGATTTTAGAACACGTCTGTTAGGGAAAAGTTTTTACCCTTTTGTAAGAAAGAAAAAAAAAAGGGTGGAATGATAGGAGGTTGGGAGGCCATATAAAGGTCTGAAACGGATAAGAGATATAATTGAAGTGAAGAAGCAAAGGCAGCCATGCAAATAATGAAAGGAACATATTTGGTGTGGGTGACGCCTAAGTGGAGCTCACATCTTCCATTCTCTCTTATAACACACAAATTCCCACCTCTCTACTCTTCTTTGTCAGTTCCCACTTTCTCTCTGCTCCAACTTTCACGGAAATCATTCATTCTATTTCTCTCTCAAGGTTGCCTCTCTTTCTCTCTCTCTTTCTCTTTGTTCATCTTCATTTCATTTGGCTCTCTATTGCCTTTGAGTTCATTTTCTGGGTTTGCTGGCTCTGTTTCTTTGTTTATTTATGTACTGAATCTTCATTTTGTGTTGGGATACTAATTTTGAAAGTTGGGATCTGATTCTTAAGCTTGTTTAGACTTAATAGACACTTTTTTTTTTTTGTTGGGAAGTGTATGGATTAAACTTGTGATTTGGTGTTGAGTTTACTTGATGAAAACTTCATAATCCTCATTCAATAGCTTCGTGAAAAGAGCATTAGTTTCTGCTTCACGGTTTGTGTAACGCTCAAACCCACCGTTAGTAGATATTTGGCTTTTCCTTTCACCCAAGCTCACTACTAGCAGATATTGTCATTTAGGGTTTTCTTTTCACCCAAGCCCACCGCTATCCGATATTGTCTTCTCTAGGCTTTTCCTTTCGGGCTTCCTTGGTTTTTAAAATGCTTTTGCTAGAGGGAGTTTCCATACCCCTATAAAAGGTATTTCGTTCTCCCCAACCGATGTGGGATCTCACAATCTACCCCTCTTCGAGGCCCAGCGTCCTCGCTGGCACTCGTTCCTTTCTCCATTCGATGTAGGCCCCCATCAAATCCACTCCCTTTGAGGCCCAACGTCTTTGCTGACACATCGTTTCATATCCACCTCCCTTTGGGGCTCAGCCTCCTCGTTGGCACATTGCCCAATGTTTAACTCTGATATCATTCGTAACGGTTCAAACCCACCGCTAATAGATATTATCTTTTTTTAGCTTTCCTTTTCGGGTTTTCCCTCGAGGTTTTTAAAACGTGTCTGTTAGGGAGAGGTTTCCACACCCTTAAAAAAATGTTCCGTTTTCCTCTCTCCATGAGAATGAGTGCTATATAAGAAGGCAACACATCAACTAATATCCATAAATTACAAATTTAGTTTTTGAGTTTTGAAGTTGTGTTTTTAGACCTGGAACGTTTTGAATGTGATTTTTAGTTTGGAGACAAAATTTGTAATTTAAAATGACAATCCATTTCCAACTCTCAAAAGAGTAACTTCTCTACTATTGTGTAGCTGATAAGGGAGAGAACTTAGAGAAGGAAAAATGGATTATGTTTACGCACCTGGAAAAAACCATCTCTTTGTCCCGGGGCCGGTGAACATACCCGAACCCGTTCTGCGGGCAATGAACCGAAACAATGAGGATTATCGTTCTCCTGCTATTCCTGCAATGACAAAAACTCTTCTTGAGGATGTGAAAAAGATTTTCAAATCAACTGCTGGAACCACGTTTCTGATTCCCACTACAGGTAACTTACCTTCCCTTTGAAAACACTCACCAGAACAACAACAACAACGACAACAAAGTTGTATGTTGATCTTCATGTTTATGCCTCAGGTACTGGTGCTTGGGAAAGCGCTCTTACGAACACGCTTTCTCCTGGAGATAGGATTGTGTCCTTTCTGATTGGCCAGTTCAGCCTTCTCTGGATTGATCAGCAGCAGCGCCTCAACTTCAACGTCGATGTTGTGGAGAGTGATTGGGGCCAGGGTGCCAATCTTGATGTCCTGGAATCTAAGCTTGCATCTGATGGTGCACACACAATCAAGGCAATTTGCATTGTCCACAACGAGACAGCCACCGGTGTCACCAACGACCTGTCAAAAGTTCGGTTCCTACTCGGTAAGCAAGGAAGGAACAAAGAAAAAAGATCATGTTTTAAGAAAATCATACAAAAACATGAAAATTTAAAAAGCTTCTCACTGCCTTATGATCTATAATCTTCTGCTGAAAAACACAGATAAGTACAAGCATCCAGCTCTTTTACTAGTCGACGGAGTGTCTTCGATATGTGCACTTGATTTTCGGATGGATGAATGGGGAGTCGACGTCGCTTTAACCGGTTCCCAGAAGGCTCTGTCTCTCCCTACAGGAATTGGAATCATATGTGCCAGCCCCAAAGCATTAGAGGCATCCAAAAATTCAAAATCAGTGAAGGTCTTCTTTGACTGGAAAGACTATCTCAAGTTCTACAAACTAGGAACATACTGGCCATACACTCCTTCCATTCAGCTCTTGTATGGACTAAGAGCAGCTCTGGATCTACTTTTCGAGGAAGGTCTCGACAATGTGATCGCTCGACACAGCCGACTCGGCAAAGCAACAAGGTAAGGATACCAAAAGTGAGTTACCAGAAACTTCATTGCTCTGAGTTCTGAAATTGAAATGCAGGCTTGCTGTGGAGGCTTGGGGGTTGAAGAACTGTACACAAAAGGAGGAATGGTTCAGTGACACAGTGACTGCAGTGCTTGTTCCTTCTTACATTGATAGCTCAGAAATTGTGAGAAGGGCATGGAAAAGGTACAATTTGAGCTTGGGACTTGGCCTGAACAAAGTTGCTGGCAAAGTTTTCAGAATTGGACACCTTGGAAACCTTAATGAGGTAAACTACAGCTAACTAGCCTGCCTTTTGTCGAACTCGTTTTTGATATTTTTGAGAAGTTCATGGCAACAAAACGAATCGATCCATTGAGAAGATTTGTTGAGTTTTAACCATGTTTCATTGGGTTCTTATTATTTTCAGTTGCAACTGTTGGGATGTCTTGCTGGGGTGGAGATGATACTGAAGGATGTAGGGTACCCTGTTAAACTGGGGAGTGGAGTTGCTGCAGCTAGTGCATACTTGCAGAATAACATCCCTCTCATTCCTTCAAGGATTTAATGTATCTGCCATGCCCATATGTAATTAATTTCCATTCTCTTCACCACCAATTCTCTGTAAAAACATCTCAATATGCTACTTCTGTTATACATTTCAATTTACTCGGTTTGATTACCTTGGCAACTTACTACTAGATCTACCATGAAAAACTAACTTAAAAGAGTATATTTAAATTTTTAAATCTAAAGGTTCATGTTCACTTCCAGTAGATATTATCCATTTTAGACTTTCTCTATCAAGTTTTCTTTCAAGGTTTTTAAAATGCGTCTGCTAGGGATCGTTCTTTTCTCCAATCAATGAGGAACCCCCCAATCCATCCCCTTTAGAGCCTAGCGTCCTTGCTAGCACACTGCCTCGTGTCCATATCGGTTGGGGAGGAGAACAAAACATTCTTTATGAGGGTGTGAAACCTCTCCCTAGCATACGCGTTTTAAAAACCTTGAGGAGAATCCCAAAAGGAAAAACCCAAAGATGACAATATTTGTTAGCGTTGGGCTTGGGCGGTTACAAATGGTATCAGAACCAGATATCAGACGATGTACCAACGAGGAAGCTGAGCCCCGAAGGGGGGTGGGACAAAAGGCAGTGTGCCAGCAAGGACGCTGGCCCCAAAGGGGGTGAATTACAAGGTCCCACATCGATTGAAGAAGGGAATGAGTGATAGCGAGAATGCTGGGCTCAGAAGGGATGGATTGTGAGATCCCACATCCGTTGGGGAGGAGAAGGAAGCATTCTTGATAAGGATGTGAAAATCTCTCCCTATCATATGCGTTTTAAAAACCTTAAGGGTAAACCTGAATGAGAAAGCTCAGAGAAGACAATGTCGGTTAGCCGTGGGCTTGGGCTATTACATTAAAGGTATTAAAGAAATAGAAACGTTTGAAATGGGAGGAGTATTTATTTTTTTGAAAATGTAAGAGTATTTCAAGAATAGTTCTATTAATTTAACTAAATTTCAATGATGTAGTTAAAATATTCATCTCCATTCAAATATTCAGTCTGCATAAATTCGAGTAATCAAGTATACAAACCACAATATCCATATTATCATCTTAGCTTCAAACAACTTTTTCACTTGATTACACCAATTTTCCGGCTTGGGTTGATCCAGAATCCAGAATCCTATTTCTCCAGAACCTCAAACCCCAATGAGACACACACAAAAAACGGTTCTTGTCTTTTTATCCTTCTGCCTTCCCTTCAGCTCTCTTCCATTTTCAATCAACAAGTGATAAAGAGCTTTCGCTCCAGTCTCTGCAATTTCATATCAGAAATTTGTTCAATTCAATTTGGATGAAACCAAACTTCACACCCATCTCTTCCCCCTCCCTTTACAGGTAATGGGTTAATTCAATTGATTCTATACTAGGGTCTTCTTCTTTTGTTTAACTTGAGCTTCTCTAATCTATTTTGCTTGCTTATGCTTCAGAAGATTGGCTGTTCTTTTCTCCAGATTGGTATTTTTCTCTGTTATAGTGTATGTGTAAGAACAGGGATGGTTTCTGCTGTGTTTGTTGCAACTAAAACTTTTTCTCCCCTGTTCTTCTGTGAGTTATGAAATTATGAGCCTTTTTCAGGGCATTTGAGTAAATTAAATTTAAATTGATTGAATTAAGATAATTAAGTTTTTTTTTTTTGGGTTAAAATTTTATGGTTTTTATGGTATTTATTTATTTATTCCAAGTTTAGATGTCCTAAGGCCATTCTCCAAGTTCTTCTAAATCTTTCTTAAATGGAAACTAATTTGAAATTTGATTGAATTTCTGGAATCAAAAAATGCACAAAAGAGAAATAAAAATCTAATGCATCCCCATACCTTCTCCCTCATGTTCAAGTCGCAGACGTCGACGACGAGCCCTTCTGGCGACGTTGACGACGTAGTGAAGACATGTCCCATGTACAGCATGTGACTGGTTTGGTAGCTCTCTCCCCTCGTGCATGACGCTTGTGCATTTTTTGTCTGTCTATCTTGGCTCTCCACTTTTCCTATCACTTATTTTCTTGTTTTACTTTTTCAGTTCTGAACTCATAGACAGATTTTGAAACATACAAAATCTATTTTGAATTTGTCATTAAACTTTTATATTACATTTAGGGAAGTGAGAGAGAGAGAGAGAGAGAGAGAAGCAAATCTCAAGTGAATAATTTACAGTAAATGGAGGAGAGAGAGAGAGAGATACGTGGGGGAACCAAATCACTGTGTTGCAGCTCTGAATAGTTCACTCCACTTCTGAGGATCATTCCCTGGACCCTCCCCCTGCAAAAGTTTCGAAGTTTTATTACTTTTTCAAAAGAGAGATAGAGAGATCTAACAAGAATCGACTAGTTGTAGCTTTCTATTTTTTGTTTTCAAAACTATTTTTAACAACAATAATCAGATGATTTGTAAAGCAATACAAACGAACAGTCTTATTTGTTCTAAAAATTATTTATGAAAATACAATAAAGGGGAAGAAGCAAGAGAAATGGCTTTTTAGAAATAATTATTCAACCAAGTTTTAAATTTGTTTATAAACCAGTTCTCAAAGAAGCTTTTATTCTCATAAACTGCAGCTATCTTGGAAGCTCACCTCAACTGAGTTAATTTCGTACGCCTGTCCTTCAGTGAAATCAATGTCCAGAGCCTGTATGCAAGCTTCAGCAACCACAATCCTGCTGGCCTCTCCAACAAGTTTGTCACCTGAGACCCACGAGAGGGAAAAAGAACGACATAATTTCAATGTGAACTCGAATATGTTAACTAACAAGAAAGGAATGAGAATATAATGACAAAAATGGAAAAAGATACTAATTGAAAATTGTATTAACATGTGTATACGATTGTAAATTTTCATACCTGGCTACTCACTTTAAAACTTTTTTTTTTTTGTTTTAAATTTTGGACCCGTTTTATAAACAATTTTGTCCTTGAAATTTATGCTTGTTTTATACCAATTTCTTTACTACAATTTTCACCTTTCTCAAAGAAACATTTAAATTCTTTATCATATTCCAAAAATAGATTGCATGTTTTTAAAAACTGCATTTCTTTTTTAGTTTTCCTAACTTGGCTGAAATTTTGAAGTTAGAAAATAGATAACCATAAGTTTAGTTTTCAAAAATAAAAAACCAAATAGTAATCAATCAGGTTATCTTATTTTCATTGTAAGTGATTAGAATTATGGAAAAGTATAGAAACAAGGCCATAGGATTAATCACTGGTAAAAAAGATTAAGGATAACGAAACTAACGGGTTCTCATACACCACATTCTATAGTGGCAATGCAACATTTGTCATTTTTACAAATTCTATAAAGTCGTACCTTGACCAAGGAGGACAGCACGCCGTTGCCCTGCTGTAGCTTTGAGCAAAGTATTAAGATCATATGAGGTGTATGGTCCATCAGTCAACCTACCAGCTCTGGAACACACAATTTTGTACATAAAAGAGAGAGTGGGTGCTCAAGGTTGAAAAACAGAGTTACATGTCTAGAGTAAACAAAAAAAAAAAGGTTATCTCAGGTAAAATAAGAAGCTCATGCCAACTACACATACCTGATTATTGTAAAGGGAAGACCTGAGTCACGAAGAAAATCCTCCCCTTGCCTTTTGTATTTGAGAACACCAAAAAGGTTCATAATGCTAGGAAAAAATGAAACCAATTAGTGGATTGAAAGCATAGTTTGTAAAGGAGTCAAAGAAACAAATGCAGTCACAGACTCGTCTGCTTCCTATACCAAGTTGTAAACACGATAACAATAAAAGGTAAATGTGTGTATTCAAGCCTCGTGCTGATTGCTGAGAAATATAAATAATAAACCATCGAAGTTTATGCTGCATGATTATCAGTCTGATTATCCTTTTGGTATTTAGACGCAGTATGTATTTACTGTTTAGTATTAGGAGCAATGAGGTGATACAGATACGCAACATAAAATTGATACTTGTCTGCAGATGTCAATATAGTTGAACATTCTGAAGAAACAAAGATCAGTTTGACGAACTAGAGAACACATCCATAGAGTCTATGGTTATAAGAGATGACAAATTTTAGTGATGCAGGTTATGCATTTTAGAAGAAACACTTTTAGCATGGACTCTAATAAACCAATCTTTATTATTTCCTAGAAGAATTATTCTCGACAGTGAAAAGAGTGACCTACCTCCATGGCAATTCATTGAATTTGGTTACACCTATTGATGAAACAAGAACTACTCTTTTTACTGATCGAGGAAGTGCTGATATAAGGTTTCTCACACCCTCCCAATCTACAGTCATAAGTTCATAGTCAGAAAGTGCCGAGAAGCATAGGTATAATAATAGGTGTGTTAGTGTGCTTACGAGTATTCGAAGATATGCAACTATAAATCTAGAGAATGGAAACAAAAACATTGTCCGATGTTTATATTGATTTCAACAAAGATCTATAGGTCTAAGTTTCTAGCCAAAACGCCAAAATGTAGCATCAAAACGCCAAAATGTAGCATCTGATATCAACAGTATAATCCTAACCTACTCGTTCAGGAGTGTTATCCCCATCCCATCGCTTTGAAGGGAAGGCTGTTGTTCCTGTGCAGCAAATCACATGCGTGACACCCTAATAGATGATTATCAGACAAATAAAAAAAGACATATTAAATTTATAAACAATTGATACTACCAAAAGTGTTCAGTTATAATATTTTAAAATAAGAAAGAACAATAAAAATCATATCTATCATAGAGTTCTATGAAGAGAGAGAGAAAAAAACTAAAATCAACAATTACAATCCAAAACGGGGACTACTTAATCTATTCCAATATAATTCAAAAAGGAATCTGAAAAAAAATATATATACATATAAATCTGTAACAAAAGTGCGATAAAAAAAAAAAAAAGTAAAGTCTACGGTAATAATAGACGAGGGATCCAACTGTTAAGTCCAAGATCATAGCCCAACGCTAGCCTTCTTGAGAATGCGAGAACAACATGCCAATAGTATGGTTTATTATTTAGGTTCATATTTATTTCAATCTAATTTATATTGTAATTTTTGGTTTCTAGCTTGTTCTTATTATAATAACAATAACCATAATCATTAATATTTTAACTTCAGGTTCACAATTATTTCAATCTAATTTATATTGTAATTTTTGGCTTCTA